TATATTACCAGCAGTTTTCCATGGCATTTGCCATTCCACCAAGGGCATGAATTAATCCTGGCCCTGATACCACGAGACAAACACCAGGTCTGTTGATAAACAATCTTCTGTTACAGTTGTTTGCATGTAATGAAACCAATCCAGGAAGAAGCAACATATTAAATATTAATATTTACACATTATTATTAAAACAACAACAACAAACAAGAGCACCACCACCAACAACAACGTGCAGAAGATCGACCACGTACCTCCCAGTAAGATATCCTATGGCTGAAGCTGCATAACAAGCCTAAAGCAATCCCAATGTGGATTAGTGCTACTTAGAAATGTTTTGAGGATTTTGGTTCTCCTAACTTAGGAAAAAAAATTGATCAGGCCGGTAAGATTTGTTGAAGATTTGAACCTGCGAACCCTAAATAAGAACTTTCCTTCATTACAACAAATCCCCCGAGATTTCCCGTTCACCACGAAACTACCCAAATATCAAGAAGTAAAAAGTGCAGAATCCCTGGATGGGATCGTGTTACAGCAGGACTTTACCGATTGTTCGTTTCGCATTCCTATATATTTTATCCCTTCTGCTTGAGCAGCCATGGCAATTTCTATCACAGGAATGCCTACAACACCAAACATGAAGTCCACTCCTTGTGTTTTTAAAGCCCTTGCTAAGATGGAGGCACCGCTTATCCGCTCCTCTTCGTCCATCTTGAATGGGAGCAAGGAGACCGCGATATCAAATCAGCGGATTTACACATCAAGGGGTAGGTACTTCATGTGTGGTGATTCGTGGTGCTGTGGTTCAGTATTCCTTTCTGGGGGTCTCAATGGGGTGGTACTCATCACGGCTCACGGTTTAAAATTTGGCGATTTCAGTACTCACGACAAATTTTTTCGAATCACGGTTAAGAAGATTAAAAAATTAAGAAATTTTTGAAATACGTTTTTCACTACTTTTTCATAATTTGTTTTGTGCTAGAGATAGTGAGTGCGGGCTTGTACGTTGTACGGGCTTGTACGTTGTACGAGCTTGTACGTTATAGACACTCAGTTATTATAATTTTTTATCATCAATCTCACATGTCAAATTTTGTCCATGCCTTGACTTGTCTGCAGAACCTTGCAAGTACCTTGTTGGTAGGTGCAATCCATCAGAATTTTGAGGGGTTAGGGGTGGAAAAGTGAAAGATTTAGGGAAAACAATTTCTGAACGGCGCGAAGGGAGGAAAAATATTTTTGCAAGGCAAAATTTTGAAATCTCCACTAAAGCTTTTATTTTTTAAATTTACAAAAATTTACAAAAAGAAAAAAAAATTGCAGCTAACATCGGAGTTAACGAAATTTCATTGAGTGTCGCATGCCTGGCTAATTTATGTGCGTAAAATCGCGAATTCATATTATTATTTGACTCTAAACAAAATTATAGTATTTTGAAATTGATATCTTATCTAATTACTTTGAAATTTCAGAATATATACAATGTCCGTACGTTTTTTTTTTAAGCTACCTGTTTCGCGAATTCCAATCTGCAATTGCGAAACTATGAACACATAAAAGAACACTGTCTTCCCATTGAAACGTCATTAAAACGTTCATGACCTTGATGAATACTTCCACGAATAAATGAACGTGACCTTGACATCTAAAAAGTCATTTTTTCCATTTTTGTGACGAAAGGCATTGTGGGGCCTCTCGTTACTATGTCATGATGTTGAGGGCACCGTAACCATCCACTTGTAGCAGGCATTCCTTGCGAGTCCTTTAAGCTGAAAAGAGAAAATCACTAGAAAAAAGAAAACGAAGTGAAAACAACAAAGAAAAAGATTAAAAGAAAAATTGCAAAAAAGAAAGAAGAAAAGAAAACAAGAAACAAACGAAAAAGAAACAATACACAAGCAAAAAAGAGAAATTCCAGCAGCAGGACTCGAACTCAGGACTTTCACTTCGGGAGAAGATGTACCCCCCCCGGAATACATAAGAAATAATGAAAATAAAAATCTAAAAAGATGGGACGATTCCCCCGAGACATTCTATGAAGCTGAGGCGTCGAATCGGCTTACGTTACGGTTAGAGATTTCGGCTCTTCCACGTTATCCCGAGTGAACATAAAACTTAGTCTTAACCAAAAGGCCAGGGAGTGAGGGGGTAGCCGCCCACTAGAGCATACCTTTAGCTACCCTCTTAGACCATCGTACTATGAAGACACTTATAGATATCTAATATCTAATTGGGGTAGTCTATTCGGTGAAGTTCTATGCTAATATATGACGTCACCAAAATCCTTAGGGAGCAGCGAGCCAATCAGAGCTAAG